TAATGGATTTGTGGACATGGAACTGTTTGCTTCTGGATTAAAATCAAATGGTTCAAATTCTTGTGTTATTTTTCTGCGTTTAGCGCTTGAACTAGATAAATGATTGTCAAATGATTTTAAATTAATTCGAGGAGTTGTATTCTCATTAATTTTACTTATTTCTTCGTTAAACTGTTTTTCCTCCATTTTCATTCGATCATACAGCGGTTTTACAACAGTCACCCATTTATGGTATCTCGAGGTTCTAGGTTTTCCATCTGCTTTTAAATGGACTCCACTAGTTTTCAAAATATTGTAATAAGATTCTATATCTGCTATAGTTGTATTTTTTGGTTCCTTCTCACATAATAAAGACCATAGTCCTGGTGTAAATTGGTAGTATTTATTAAGCAACAGTAATTTACCGTGACTAAAAGTTACAGAATATTTTCCTATTTTATATGAATCACTATCTTTATCATAATGCATACCATAAGATTTATCATAACGTGTTGATTTAGGACGGTTATTTAAAAAATTTTCATATGATGAATTTAATTCATCATCATTATCTTCTTCACTAATGCACGAGGTTTCTGATTTATTTTCTAGTTCAGTTGACCGTGTGTTACATATTACATTTTGTTTCACATGTGTACTCAATGGTTCAATTATCGGCTTAAATGCTTCACGGAAATAGTTTTCAGAATCTATAACACCACGTTTCATTTCCATTATTTTTCGTTGTATATTTTTTTTTGATGTTATTAAATTTTCCAACAAGACTTTCTTTGTTCATTGTTAATAATAAATGTAATATACCTGTATCGTATGACTACTGATAACACTATGCGGATAATAACTGTGTGATGGTATATTTATATATAGGTATAAGCACATAAAATTATTTTATTTTAATGAATGTATGAAAACCACATCTATACCTTCCTTCATTCATTTCTCGAGTTTTATCTATGACCAGAAACCCGTAATCGCTGTAATTCCAACATAAATGGGAAATTTTCCGGAATTCTGAGAAATCCATATCTGTAGACGAATGATCGTTGAATATATGTCGTAAATTTGTATCATCTTGTTTCAGTATCATTAAAAAGTTCGAGTTATCTCTTATTAGCTGTTTTGGTATTTTAGAATATGTCTGTGCCAAATAAAATACAGAGCTGGCACCTGAATGTCTACCCATGCTAAAGTATTCTCTGATTACGGATTGTGGACCGCATATCACATCATCAAAAATTATAATAGAATTTTTCTTGGTTAAGTTTGGTTTTATAACCTTATCAGCGCTTGTAAATAAGAAAAAATTAGCACCTTGTATACCATCTATTATTTTTTTCAGTAAAACATATTTTTCCTGATTAGAGGTTTTCGAGTATAAATAAATATTTTCAAATCTTAACCCGTTTGCATGTGTGATCAGATTATACATTATATTTGTTTTTCCTGAGCCACTGGGACCAACTAGTATAGCACGTATAGTATCGGGTAATAACGAACCGTGTCTTGATGGTTTTCTTACTACCTGAACATCTACATTTATAACATCCAATTTATCTTTCTGTTCTATCAAATCCATATTATTTTCTTATAAATACTCTAGAATTCTCTAATTTATAATCAGTTATCGATGACGCGTTCAACTCGCAAGTGTAAGTCAGTCAAGACTGGTAAAGGATTTGTAAACTCCCTTATAAATAGTCTCCCGTTCGAAGCCCATGTTTCAGGATATCAGTATTGTGGTCCTGGCACGAAATTAAAAAAGAGACTAGATCGTGGCGATTAAGGAATAAACCCATTGGATGCTGCTTGTCGTGATCACGATATTGTGTATGCAACGAGCAAAAATTTAGACGATAGACATAAAGCTGATCAAGTGTTAGAAAATCGTGCTTGGGAAAGATTTAAAGCAAAAGATACACCTAGAAAAGAGAAATTAGTCGCGTACGCAGTAACAAACGCGATGAAAGCTAAAAGAAAAATAGGTATGGGTTGTAAACGGAAACGTGCTATAAAAACAAATGGTATACTAGCAGCGAAGAAAAAAAGAATCTCAAAGAAAAAGAATGGTGGTAAAAGGCTGATTTTAGCACCGAGGCAGTCAGGAGGTGTAATTCCCTTAATACCTATATTTGCAGGATTGTCAGCACTTGGTAGTTTGATGTCTGGAGGTGCTAGTGTGTATAATGCTGTTCAAAATTCAAAAAGAAAAAAAGGTAGTGGTTTGAAATCAAACAAGAATAGGTTAAAAAAAAACTGATGATTACGCTACCTGACAGACCGCTTTCGTCTCAAGATATTATAAAATATGCCGGAAAGTTGAAAATCAATCATTTCCGTGGAGTCTTTTCACGTGATAACTTACCTAAAAAACCGCACGCTATTGAATGTGGTATATTAAACTTGGATATATCTTCAGGCGATGGAAGCCATTGGGTAGCGTTTTATAAAAATAAGGACAAAGTTGTATATTTTGATAGCTTTGGTGATTTACCTCCACCAATTGAATTACAACATTATTTCAGACAGTTCAAAATAGTATATAACTATTCCAACTATCAAGACTTCAATACATTTAACTGTGGTCATTTATGTCTTGAATTTTTACAATGCATGAATCTATTACATTAAGTTTGACTGGAAATTTGACTGTATTATCTGTAAATTATTTTCCGCCTATAAACCTTTACGATGACTCAGAAATAGCTTTGTTATGTTTACAGTCATTTAATTCATTCCCAAATATTAATGAAAATAATAATAAATTTTCTATACAAGTAGTTGATAATGAAAACAATAATGATCCTATGATATGTTTTATTACATTGGAAGAAGGTTGTTATGAAATTGAAGATATTAAGGATCGAATTAAGAAGCAAATAGTTGCCTATAATAGTAACAACTTAACCAATTTAACATTCGACATTACGGTTGATCCTGATGATTTCAGATCGTATATAAAATGTAATGGAATACTACACTTTGAATATCCATATAGTATAGCACCTGTATTCGGTTTTGAAAAACGAGTATATAATCCATACAACATTCTTCGATCGGAAAAAGCTGTAAATTTAAACACAATTAATTCTATAAAAGTAATGTGTAATATAGCTCAAGGATCATTCAGCAACCATCTTCAGAGTCATTCGATTTATGAGTTTTTCCCGAGTGGAAAGACAGGGTCGAAAGTAATTCAGGCACCGCCAAATTTAATATATTACAAATTGAATAAAACAAATATTGATTCGATAACCGTTCAGTTAGTTGATCAAGATCATAATCCGATTGATAATTTTGGTGAAGCATTGACAATCGTGTTACATATTAAACGTTACGGCTCTTGAGATGGGATTAAAATTCAATATAAACCCACTACTTCAGATCAGTACAACTAGTCATAAGACTAAAGTGCTAGCAGTAACATCAAATAAAATAAAAAAATTGACGGTGAAGAATAAAAAAATTTTACAAGCTCTGGGTTATCAATTAAAGTAGAATGCCTGAAAGTGATATTTTGGATATAACTTCACAGTACGAGACGGATTCTAAAATTACGAAAATTGAATATCATTCATACGCACCGTATACAACATCATTTAATAATAATGATGAAATACGTATATCAATCCAGCAAACGGATGTTTATCCATATCTACACGAAAGCTTTATTTTTTTAGGAGGAACAATTACTGATGCTACCAAAGTGAAACTATCTAATAACGGTTACTCTTACCTCTTCGAACAAATACGATTGGAAATCAATGGGATAGAAGTAGATAGCACACGTGTTCTTGGAATCACTAGCTCGTTGAAAGGTTACTTATCCGGTACGCCAGATAACTACAATTGTTATGAAAATGCTGGTTGGAATTTTAAAAACGCAACGCAATCGGAAAATGATAAAGGTGAATTTAGTGCTTGCATTCCATTGAAATATTGGTTAGGATTGTTTGAAGACTATAAAAGAATATTAGTGAATTCTAGATTGGAATTAATATTAACCCGAAGTCATAGTGATTTAAATGCTTTACAAGTTAAAAGTGGTGCGACTGTCACTGAAGGTAAAGTCACCTTAAATAAAATAATCTGGAAGGTCCCACATATAACGGTTGACGACGAGGAAAGGTTAAAATTATTGAAACTTATAGAAAAAGAAAAAAGTCTATTTATCCCTTTTAGATCTTTTGAAACTTTTGAATATCCTGAACTCGGAACCACTAAAAAAGTTGTATGGAATTTGAAAACTGCTTCAAAATTAGAAAAACCACGATTTATCATAATTGGATTACAAAAAGGACGTAAGAATTTGCTAACAAAAGATTGTAGTATATTTGACCACTGTAATTTAACAAACGTTAAAGTATTTCTGAACTCTATAGCTTATCCATACGATAATTTGAATTTAGATTTTACTAAAAATAATTTCACCTTATTATATAATATGTATACATCGTTTCAAGAATCGTACTATGAAAAAAGTATTCGTAATCCGATATTGAGTCCTTCTACTTTTCTGACAAACGCTCCAATTATAGTTATCGATACTTCGAAACAGAACGATTCAGCCACAGCCTCAGCAGTAGATGTTCAATTGGAAATTGAAGCTTCAGATTCGCTTACAGGTGTAACTGCTTATTGTTTATTAATTCATGATCGTATTGTAGAATATGTACCTTTTACTAGAGAAGTAAGAAAACTTGTATAAATAATTGTTTAGAATTAATATATAATTGTATTTGTAAATAAAATATCATTTAATAAATAATATATATTTTATCAAATTGTTGTGTTACATGGTGAAGCATGTAGAAATCTCCCTGTAAAAAAGGTGTTCAGAACGCACATTAGGGTTTTTGAGATTATGTGTTACACGGTGGAGCATGTAGAAATGCCCCCCTTAAAATGATGAAATCTCCCTGTAAAAAAGGTGCTCAGAAGGAACATTAGGGTTTTTGAGATTATGTGTTACACGGTGGAGCATGTAGAAATGCCCGCTTGAAATGAAGAAATCTCCCTGTAAAAAAGGTGCTCAGAAAGCACAAATATATACTACTTGCATCCGAAATAATCTTATAACTAAAGACTTAACATTTTCCACAAATGGTATTAAAAAAACTGCTAAATGGGAACACTTGATACAGCTATACCAAGCTGACAGCTTCATACCTGACTGCAAAATGCTACCTCGATTAACAGATGCACATGTAATACCAGAAAAACTTCCTAAGATGAAAGTTCGAAACGCTTGTCAAGTGTTTAGTCAACGAGTTTCAGCAATAATGAATTTCCTTGCTTGTAAGTTATTTTTTTTTTACTTAGAATAATGTAATTTTAATGTAAATAATTTAATTAATTTTTTGTAGCTAAGTCTATCATTGATCCTGGTGCAGCAGATACAGCAGAAATTTTTTTATTTTTCGATAAATTATTCGATTCACTCAACGGCTCTTTTGACAAGGTAGTTGATGGGAAAATTTTCAGAACGTCTGTCAAAAAGAATTCAATACATCATCAACTTTGGATGGATAGTTTAAAAGTATTGTCTACTATGAAATTTGTTAACAAAAACGGAAAAGCCGTCAGTATACCAACAATAAAAAATTGGGAAATGACTATAAGGGGTGAGTTACTCTATTCTGGCATTATCAGTTTTCAATTAACATATTATTAATGTTGTATATCACTATTTTTTTTTTTAGGATTCCAAACATTATCAAAGGCTTTACACATTAAGGGGATACAATCATTACTTCCCAGAGTTTTAAACCAAGATTCTTTAGAAAACTTATTTGGAGGCATTAGAAGTGTTGGATGCTCAAATCCTACGTGCAGCATTTTCATGTCATCATACAAAACATTACTACTTAATAATTTGGTTTCGTCTCACTCACCTGGGGCAAATTGTGAGGATTTCACTGAAGGATGTTTACTGACGTACAAAAACTTATTTTCCATTAGACAAGAAACTCCAGAAATGCCACTTCTTTCGTGTGATTTACCTGAACAAGTTATTCCTAACCAGCTTGATACAACTCAGTATTTAAGAGACCTCACGCATACATTTATTTCTGGGTATATTATCAAAAAAATTAATAAAAACTTATTAAAAAATTGTAAAACATGTTTAAAACTAATATGCTCAAATAATACATCTAGTGAAAACTATGAGCTATTACAAGCTAGAGAATACCAACCTTCTCGACCATCTTTAAAATATCCAGCACCATCATTTGGTTTATTAGTTAGTAAAATAATTGTCAATATCACTCAATGTTTACCTTCTGTATGCCATCACCCCAAAATTAAATCAATTCTTATAGATAAAATTCTTTCAAATTTTAATCTAAGTATTTTACACTGTCCAAAGCATGATGATAGTATTCAATATAAAATTGCTGAATGCATTGTAAATTTATTTCTTCATTTTAGGTGTACCGAAATTAACAGGATACTGTCAGGAAAGCGTAAAATTAAACACAATGAAAAAGACCCCATCAAACTGTTAGCCAACTCGTGGTACGAAAAACACTCTAAAAAAAAAGTAAAAATCGGCAAATTTAATCAGGTATAAACAATGAGTAAAATATTAATTTAATGACTTAATGTGGTTATATTTAATTTTTTCTTATTATTAAACTATTTATGACGTATATTGTATTATAATATATTGTACATATATTTTTTTTGTTATTTTATATAATTATGTAATGCAGTGTGATATGAATATGTGTTGTTCACCTAATATTGATCATAATATGAATATTCGTTTAATATTTAATTTTTTGTATTATTAAACTATTTATGTTTATACTTTATTGTATTATACATATATATATATATATATATATATATATATCCATTATTTTTAATTTTTTTTATTTTGTATAATTTTATATAACTATTAACTATGTAATAAAAATGATCTCTTATCAGAAAATAATTTATTGTAATTTATTACTATTTTTCTATCATTGCTCCTTTCCTTAAGTTTTAAAATTTCTAAACGAAAAATATCGATAGTAAAGGGTACAGATATCGATAATTATCGATAGTAATAGCTATCGATGGTAACTCTGTCTTAGTAGTATCGTACAACCACCGGGAGCGCTCGAATACGGTTCGTTTTTATAACATAGGAGTTGCCTATCTATTATATTATACTTATCTATGCTCTCGTACGTCAACCGTCCATACGGAAACACCCACGCTACATATAACAGCGTACTTATTATTTTGTATAATAAAATAACCATTCTTGTGTACCGACAAATAAACGTCCCCCCGTGGACTTCTACGCATATTCCGGTGTTAAATTATTTGTTTGTCGTAATCTCGTGAGTGTCACCTCGATCTACCACACTCCTCACCATCACATTGCGACCGGCTCACCGCGGACGCTACCCCAACACCGCCGTAGCCGCGTCAAATTGGCTCCCCGCAGAGGATCATCTCAAGTCAGCGAAAAGGTAAGTTTTCACGCTGACACATACCTCGGATTAAGTGCTTATATTAAATTAGTAATAAGTTATTCAACCAGGAGTGTGTTTGCCGGTTAGCTAGGACCCCCTAGAGAACATTACGTAACAATTATTTTTAGTACGTAACAGGGAAATCCGCGCAGCCGTGCATAACCGTGATACGGATTGGGAAGTAGTTATATAACAACCACCACCCCTCCGCAACGCCTACCTTTCGCACCGCGGCATTATCGCCGATAACAACAGAGCGCGCAGGCCAAAAACCGGTTCAGCCGCCGCAGCCGACAGCTGCCACCACCGAGGTCGTTGACCCAGTACCACTATTTTTGGTACGCAACGGCGGCACTGTCGTCAGCTGATCTGTTACACAGTCATAAATAATAAATATATAAATTGTCGTAGCTAGCGCGCGAAATTTATCGAAAAACCAAAAAGCCTCCTCAAAACCGTGCACACCGCGCAACAAGCACAATCCACTGGCCATACAACAGCGTAACGACCACATCGGTAAACAATTTTACACAATGTCGGAAAAAACGTTACAGCAGTTGTCGTCGGCGGAGCTACGTAGCGAGTGCACGGCCCGCGGCCTCAGCGCATCCGGGACGAAGTCGGATGTGTACGTCCGGCTAGAGGAGCACCTTAGGGCAAGCGGACTAGTCCCCGAGAATGTGAAGTTCGTAACAGTGCAGCCTGGAACCGTAGGATTCCAGGGCAGTACTGAACAACAACAACACATGACATCAACGCTGGAAAACACGAACGCCAGCCAGATTTTCGGACAACCGTCTGAGGGAATTTTGACAAGACCAACAGCAAGTCAAAAACCCACAGACAACCGGCCAGAAATCGGCGGCTTCCAGTCGACCATGCAGCAGGGCCAGTCCGCACAACCTGTAAAAACAGACATTTTCGAAACCGCGGCGAAACAACTACAACAGTTAAAATTAATGTTGCCACAAACGAACGACTCAACATTGTTCGAGGCACGTTTAGGCGAAGTCCGTCATTTCGCCGCGATCGTTTCGCCGCCGGACTATTCGCCGCGACCAGTTCGCCGCCGTTAATTTCGCCGCCGATTTATTCGCCGCCGTTCATTTCGCCGCCGATCATTTCGCCGCCGATTTATTCGCCGCGATCGTTTCGCCGCCATCGTTTCGCCGCCATTCGATTCGCCACCATCGTTTCGCCGCCGAAACTTTTAAAGTGGTTGCAGCCAGGTTTTTTTTAAAGCAAATTTTAAATCTGTTTTCAGATACTTCAATACTTGTAATACTTAGCAACTGTACAACACTTCTCTGCATTTACGATCTAGGACAGATGGACGTAGCCATTTGGGCGTGATGATAATAGGACGTCAACAAATAAATATAATATATAAATCAGTAAATAAAATAAATAAGTTATTTATATTTATTATAATATATAAATTAATATTATAAAATTAAAAATATATATGAAAAATTATTTATTTTTTTTTTTTTTATTATTAATATTATAATATGCTCCTAGCCTAGGTTGTCTACATCTAAGGAGGTTACATATTATTGAGCTTGGCTATTTTAATATGATAAAAACGTTTATTTTATAAACATCTAAAAAAAAAATCGTCAAACAAAAATTATATATATAAATAAGTTATAAATATCCAAAAAGCTTTTAATGTCAAAAATAGCTAGTTATTTATATTAATTATAATATTATCTTATGTAGTTATTTTATAATATTAAAAAAACAATGATCATTTTATTAAGTTAATGCAGAGAAATATTTTGTGCGATTCCGCGTAAAAATGATATTTCAGTTCTAGTTTCATAATTTTGAACAATTCTTAAAATGTGTTTATCCGCATCAATAAATGTCTTTAATTTTTGTACTAACCAATAACTAATAAGTTACATATAATATATTGATATTAGTATTGATATTGGTACATATTGCCAAAACGATACAATTCGAACATGTTCGATATGATACAATACATTAAGTCATATTATGAATATATAAAAAATCAACTCAACCTACTATATTACTAATAGTAAAATTAATGATTTTTATAACTATAATATCATAATTATTCATAAAATATATCTAGTAAATAGTAATGTATACAATATACATAATACACACACACATATATTATATATAATATGTATATATATGCTGACGGTCTTCACTCAGAATCGGTTTTTGTAAGTAATGATAAATAATTGAATTCAAATTGAATATACTATAATAAATATGATGATAACAGATAAATGATAATAACACACAAGTACCTTACAAACTAATCAACACTAATTGTCACTCATGAGGATGAAGGATGCTGCAAGATGTACGTTCTATAGTCTATAAAATTATTTATTTTACAAACCTAATTTGATTTTTTTATTTAAGGCATTCAAGATATCAGCTCTAAAATTCAGCATCACTAAGGGTCAGAACATATAAATATAAATTTTACGGAACTGATAAATAATATTGATCACGCAGTTAATGGATGGCACATATTTGTTTGATTTCATACCTACAAATAATTAATATGATACTTAATAAAATTATGATACAATGATGTGTGTTTTTTTGTGTGTGTGTGTGTGTGTGTGTGTGTCTGTACTCTGTCGTCACGTTTTAAGGCAGTAAAAGTGCTCCGAATTTCACCAGAAATTTTTCTCTTAGGAAAATGAATCTTGTTGGTACTTTGGGGGTCAAAAGTAAAAAATTTCATAGTTTTTAAACGCATCGGAAAAAACAAACAAAAAATTAAGAGGATTGGTGGTGGTGTATATTTAAGGAGTTGAGTATAGGCAATTTTTACCAAATGTTTATATTTTCAATTTCAACAAACCATCAAATTTTCAAAATATTTAGACTTTGAGTTATTTACAAGCATAATAAATTGTCAGGTTTTTTTTTTATTATTGCTAATAAAATATAACTTGTTATGAGTGAAAATTAAAAAAAAAGTTGAGCGTAAATATTTCATTGGTTTTTATAAGTGTAAAGTTAAAAATTTGACGAAATACGTAAAAATAACGAAATTACGAAGTTTCTTTTTATTTAGAAATTCATAAAAAATTGTTAGTCAAAACCTAAGATTTGAAAATTTAACAAGAGATTCTTCATAAGTTTTCTACCTTTCTCAAAAAAAAAAGTTTAGCCAAAAGTCAAACTAATTTTATGAACATTTGAAATAAGACATTGAATGTTCAACCGTTTTTCCGGGAACCAATTTCTTATTATGATGTAATTTAAAAAGAAATAACCGCATACATTTGAAAATTTCACCAATTGTAAGATTATCATTTTCTGCAAATCCAACAATTTAAAAATATGTTGCCACGTTTTCAGCTAACTGTAGGCCTAAGAAATTGTTGGTTTTTTCAAAATGTAATGTATTTTTTCCGTAAGTTGTTCTAAATTTGGCTTAAAATAATAAGCATTTAAAGTTAAAATGTTGACCGAATACATCAAAATCTCGAATGTTTGCAAATTTTTTTGTAGTTCAAAATGTATAAAATATCGTAGACTGACAAACCGTCTCCGTTGAAAATCATTTTTCGTATACAATGATATAATATCATCAGTGATGGGAAAGAACGCGTTCACTTGAACGCGTTCATATTGTGTGAACTTGACATGAACGAGTTCGATTTTCAAGAGATGAACTTGAACGTGAACTAAGTTCTTATTAATTATGATTTTGAACGTTTTGGGTTCGTTCATTGACAATTTAATTTTCGACGCATAGTCGGCAGTCGTTTTCACGTACCTATTTTTTTTTTTATTTTCTTTAGTAACATTTTATAATTTTTGATTATAATTTTAAAAACTATGAACTATTCTAAATGAACTAGAACTTGAACTAGTTCATTCTAAAAACTATGAACTAGAACTTGAACTAGTTCATATTTAATGTCTTGAACTTGAACTTGAACTAATTCATTTTTAGAAAGAACCTTCCCATCACTGAATATCATTGTATTCAAATTTAACATCATCCATTATAGTGACCCATTAACTATATACAGTAGAGCAACATCCACTTACCAGCCTTTTTTTTCTATAAATGTCGATAGAACAATTTTGGTTG